GCCGCCAGCTCCAGCTCTGCCTCCAGCTCGTCCGCCGCCAGCTCCAGCTCTGCCTCCAGCTCGTCCGCCGCCAGCTCCAGCTCTGCCTCCAGCTCATCCGCAGCGGCCACAAGCTCCAGCTCTAGCAGCACGGCAGCCAGCAGCTCTTCGTCCAGCACTACTGCGGCGGCCAGCTCCAGCTCTGCCTCCAGCTCTTCGGCGGCGGCTTCAAGCTCTAGCTCGACCAGCGCTGCCCAGTCTAGCTCTAGCTCTTCCACCTCGGCCGCGGCATCCTCAAGCTCGTCGAGCACATCTTCCGCTGCTTCCACCACTACCACTGTTGCTCCACCCGCCACCACCGGATTCTACATCACTTCCAACACCGGTGCCAAGTACCACAAGCGTGCTCTTGTCTACATTGGTTTCGAGGGAGATGATGGTGTCTTGGTCACCGACAAGAGTGAGGCTGCCATTTTCTACTTGGACACTGATGGCTTCCTGCGATCTGGTCTGCTCTTTGTGTTGGCCGACTTCAGCCAGCCATACATTGCCTTCCAGTTGAGCGACTCCCCGCCTGCCACCTTGTCCACCTGGACAATCGGCTCAGATGGCACCCTTACTGCCACTGCCGCCGGCGGCTTCTGTGTCTCCACTTCCAGCTTTGTCTTTATCATCTTCAGCCAACAGCCACCGTTCACTTGCACTGCTATCACCTTGGTTGCTCAACCTGTCAATGGTAAGATGCTTCTCCCCCTTTGTGTTCTGCTTGATCCACTAACTCGTTTATAGCTGCCACGTCCTCGACCACCAGCACCACTACCACTGAGGCTACAACCACCACTGAGGCTACGACTACAACTACCACTGCCGAGCCGACGACGACCTCGACCATTGCTCCTTCTACCACTACAACGTCTGAAGAGACTACGAGCACTACCACGACTGAGGCCACCACCACTACTGAGTCCACCACGACCACTGCTGAGCCAACTACTACGACCACCGAGTCAACTACCAGCACCAGTGCGGCTCCTACGACTACTACCACGGAGGAAGCCACCACGACCACCACTACCGCTGACATCTCTGCTGATGTCGCAGCTGAGCCAACTCCGGCTGGACCCGTCCGCCGTGGTATCCAATACGGTGGTCGCCGCTACTACAATCACCGCCGCTAGGCGCCTTTTGGTGAGATAAGCAAATGTTTTGTGGGAAATGGGGGGATTCCCGGATGCCGGTTGAACGTTACATAATTCGTGCTCCAGAGCGCTCTGCGACCTTCATCACAGCTGCTGTGCCTGGTCTCAGGAACTGCGCTGGGTTGAAGGTTCAATTTTACCTTGTATAGACTTTTGGTTTCACGTTTTTCTCTCACGTCCTGCAATGAAGAGATGAGATATAACGGTCGCATCTTTGGAAATGTGTCGAATCAAAGCGGGAAAGCCACACCATCAAAGGTGCACCTCGCTTCAGGATAGGGCAGGGGTTTGGTTCCCTTACTCATGTCTTAGGCAAAGAAGAAGTACGATACGTTCACAGGGAAATATCATTTTACATAGCTCGGGCTGAGCTGACTCGTCTGAGAAATCTGAACCAAGGCCTTTTTTTCCCCCTTCCTACCTTGAGTGAGCAGTCCTACATTGTACAAGTGACAAGATAGATCTCACAATCTCTACAGGCAGTCACTGAAAAGGCTGCGTGTGAGAGTTCAAGAAACTGACCGCCCTGTGAGGGGCTACTGTAGCAAGCTGAGTGCGAGCACTGGCAGTCAGCGCGTGAGTGAGTGTCTTGAGTGGGCGAGCCCTTCTTCGTGTCCAACGTCTTCTCTGACAACAGTGGCTGGCAAACTCGACAGCTGAACCAGGGGGCACTCGGACCATTGTCAACACGCCATTGCGCATTGACATTTTGTTGCGCAACGAGTCTAGACGACAACAACAGACGTTTTGAGAACAGACCAGAGAGGGGGCGAATCGAGTCCAATGGGTCCTGCCGTGGATGTGGATGGAGACAGACAGGATAGTATTCAGCCTCAGGCCTGGTCCGAGCCCAGGCACCGTTGTGGCCCAACGTCCCTCGCTAGCCAATCACAAAATTCGTCTCGAGGAAAGCATAGACCACGTCATTTCAAATGGCATCTGTCTCGTATGCGCTAGTAACGCGCTCAACGGCTTGCAAGCAAATCGTCAGCCTCGTGCTCCTGTCGACACGCCAGGGGGACAGCAGACACAAACCTGTCCCCACGATTTGACAGTTGCACTAGTGGTTTTTTCGCCGGCGCCTCTCCACTGGAGTGGCACTCCGCCGTTGTTGTCGTCCATTTTCTATAGCACAGTACATTGTACTGGCTGCGCCGTGAGTGGCTTATCGTTTTCAATGTTTATCATCACGGGCCGCAGTAGGGTCTGGGTTTTCCCGTGTTGTGGGCCCGCTGGCTACCTCGCACTGTGAGTGCCTCTTTGCTCATCGACCAGGGCAATGCTCAACGGTGCGGGAGATCGGTGGTGCTCATCGTCCTCCTCTCCTCTTCAGTCCCCCGTCCATGGTGGCCATGTTGGTCCCCTCGGGTGATATTCGCCTTTGAGGAGAGGCGTGGGGGCGGCTCTGCAGTATGGTGCACTGCATCGCAAAGCAATGGAAACTCAGGCTTGAAGCCACGCACAAATCAACCGCCAGTGCGTGAATCACGCGTTTTGACATGTCCTCTTTTGCGTGCGCGTCAAGCGTGCTCGAGGCTCTCCTCTCTCGTCTCTGGCTTCTGCATTTGGATGTTCGTGATCTTATTTGACAGTTTCACCGTCGCGCGTGCGACAGCTGCCAGATGATTCAACTATTATTGTTGAACAGAAAGTGAGTGGGTCCTCCGGCAAAATCTGCACCGACCGTGTCTTCTCTGCAGTGGTTCAAGTTTTGCTCGCCCGCCTCAGCTTGAGTCTTCTCGCGTTCGCGTCGAGTTCTCGATCCGTGCACTGGGTCTGCAAGCTCACTCCAGCAGTTATTATCAATGCTTTATTAGTGTACTGCTCGATTAGTACCTCGTACACCATTGCAGTCGCAATACCATACCACGCCACAGCCGCAGCCGTATCCGCACCCGCACAATAATGTGGAGGGCGAGGGAGGTCTTTGCTGCCTTCCCGCGGGTGTTGGTGTTGGCTATAGGAGCTACTCTCAAAGCCATACAATAATAAATGGACTACCGACTGCCCTGTCTCAGTTGATTGTCCAGGGTGCTTGGGTTGGCGGGTCGGATGATGGACGGATTGGGATCATCGTTGACGCGATCGACAGGCACTTTAATGCACAGACCTTTACGATTGTAGCGTTCATTGGCTTGCTGGTCTGCAGTTCGAGCGCTCGTGTTGGCGCCCTGTTGGTCCAATGTGAATACTGTAGATACTGTATGTCCCAATGCGATTGCGTTTGCGGCTGATATATTCCTGGATGGTGGCGAGACATACAGTATACAGTACAATGTACTGTACATTCTCCAGACTGGAGTAAAACGTCCTTCTGGGTGTTTCCCAGAGTCATCTCTTTTCCCACTGGTTATTAGTGTACAATAGGAGGAGTGCTTCAGGAGCCGAGTCAAGTCGACGAATGCGTCATGAGCTTGGCCCTCATCGTTCCATCACGCCGTCCGGCCATCGTGTGCGAATGGTATCTAGCAAATCATCAGAAGTCCGGTGGTCGTTGATTGTGACACTGTTTACCTTGTTCGGAGAACGTACAAAGCAGGTATGTCCGGGGTTCCAAGCTGCGCATAGGAAGGACATACATGGTGGTTACATAGTCTTTTAACCAGGTCAACTCAGCGGCGCTGGCGTGTACAGTAGTATTCAAGGGTGATGGCACGTTGTTGTAATGTCTTCACACGTTTCGTTCCCAAACCATCCACATGAGACTCGTCTAGATCATCTTCTGTGCGAAAGAGACAGTGGCGTTGTGGTGTTAGAAGGTGCTTGTTTGCCCGTAAAGTACCGACTGGTGGCTCGCCTGGGGAAGGGTTGTTTCCTCGACCACTTGGAGCAGGTATGACAACACTCTTCCATGCAGGGAGGCGATGCCACCTCATCCCATGGTTGACGACACTTCATTCTGTGCGATGTAAGGTCACTCACTCGTTGAGTCATTGTCCGACAAGACCGATCCGACTGTGTCACTTCAGCTCTAACTGACAGCCGCGAGTAACTTGGCTTCGTATATGATATATCTCATGTCCCTGGTGGCTTGCCAAAACCTCCTGGTGGCGTATGGTGGCGCTTCATTGCTAGACCCCCCTGTTCTAAGTCGTTCCGACAAATCGGGTCTGCTGAAGAGCACGGCCGGCGGCGTCGTGAGGCTGCTTGTCGCTTGTGATGCTGAGGCCAATCTCCGTTTCTTCTGACCAGTCGAGCGTGGCGTGGGAGTTACGAGGCACGACCTCTGGCTGTTCTGACCTTTCTACATAAAGTCAGCAACTGAGATAGAAGATGATTTCGACGCGTGTAACGGTCGCTCCAGGTTCGATGGCATAGTCATCATGTAGATTTGTCTATTCCTCAAGAGTATACACGTCAAATCTGAACTTTCTGGGTCGCATAAGCATCCTGTCTTGCGAGGCATGTGGCTTCGTCTGGGGTCCACCTTGGTCCGGCTGAGGAACAGGCGTCTCAGGCAGGGGCCCAGCGTTTCCTGGTACCTACCGGACGGCAGCAAATGAGTCTTGGAGGCAGACAAACCGCTTGTTGGTCAGAGAGACTTGAATACCCTTTATTGTAGCTTCCCGTGCAAAAGTTCTTGCTCATCGGTCCTCTCCGTGGCATATGCGGAGGAAAACCATTGTTGACATTCCAGCAAGGGTTCCCGGCCTCGAACCATATCCTCGTCCGTATAGGGGGTTTTTGGAAGATGTCCTGACAGCCTTGTCTCGAAGTCGGACAGACTTTATCCAAGTCCAGATAGTATTCCCTCTCCATCTTCCACGTAGGCTTTCTTTCCTATCCTATAGGCTGCTTTGTGTTAGCTCACTTTAGGTGCCACGCTCGACGACTGAAGTCTCGCCCAGGAGTCTGGGGAATGCAAACCATATTGACCCAGATCTTTGGCCAGCTCGAGGTGGCAGACATTCAAGCGCGTGAATGCTTCATCTCCGTACACCTCGGATATAGGACGGTAGTGATATAACCTGCAACTGTGGTGATCGATCCCACCCCTTGGAAATGCCCACAAATCTTCCTCCTCACTGCATCTCAAATATGATGCTTGGGAAGGACTCCATGTCTGATAACTCCAGCCCCGATGCGGTAAGTCCAATTCAATAACAAAGAAGCCACATAAACAAAGAAGGGTAGTCCAGATCTCGGACGAGAACGTCGTTCAGAGCTTTCTAATGCTCCAGCTTGTTCAAGATGCATGTCCACATAATCAATGCCTTGCTAAGCTCCACGTCTCACCTTGGTCAAATACCACGGACAGCTGACCCGCAGAAGATGTGCCTGTAAAAGGCGATCCTTTTGCCCCTTCGCAATGTTGCGTTATTCGCTATCATCAAGTCGAAATAAATCTCTTCGTAAGGCGGCCATGACTTGGGGAGGCTAATGGTTTGGCAGGGGTTCTTCAGTCCGATGCTCCTGTGCCAAGTCGATTCAGTTTATTGTGTAGTTGGCCCGCTGTGCTAGGTATTTTGTCTGCGACTCTCGAGGAGCCAAACCATTGGTTTTTCCAGAGGGCGTCCTTCTCACTCACCCTTCATTAAACCGGGCGGCCTCCCCTATAGTACCCCCATCGCATCGGTCTCTGGGCGAACCCTCAGCTGATTTGGAGTGCTTATGTATTTTGAAAACCAAATTATCTTCAACAATTCAGCCGTGGTCGAGTGGCAAGCACACAGTGCAACTACCCGACTAGGGCTGGAGAAGTTGGGGGTTCGATTCACGTTCACCTTACTTCCACACTTTCTGATTGACAGGGGCCCTGCTGCGAGTCGTTAAAGCTTGCACCAGGGGGATCTCTACTCTCAGGAAGGGGCCATACCTCCTTCTGGAAGACAGCGGAGCCTGCAGCAAGTCGTTAAAGCTTGAACCACTGTCGGGTCGATCTCTACTTCCAGAACGAGGCATGGTCCAGTGGAAGTTGAAGGGCGTGATATCGAACCCTCCACCCCGGAAACCCCCCTCCCCTTAAAAAACCAGATACGTTGTTCTGGTTTCACTTCCTTACAAGTCCTCCTGACCGGGGTGAGGCTTGTAAGCGAGTGTTTTTGTCTTTTTGAAAGAAGTTTTGTTTTTGCAGCTGCCGCCTAATGTAACTCTTCGCTGTTATGGAGGATACAGCACATAACCTGGTGGGAGTGATATGCAACTCGACCTTTCAATCCTCACCTCGTATATATCTAAGGTACCCTCTTACTAAATTGATGTCTCTCACCTTTGCGACCAGTGGGATCACGGCGCTGAGGGGTTTGTTGAACAGCTGGCTGCGCCCTCAGAAATCCCGAGCATCTTGCTTCGTCCCGTGAGTTCGAGCTTTGCTCAAAGTCTTCTTGGTTCCGCCTTCATTTGGCGGCAATGAGCCTGATACTCCTCAACACGTCCCCGTGTTTCCCCCCGCCGTCCATAATTACTTCCTCAGCCACCAGCTCCCCTCTTGGAGTACTGAGGTAAAGGCAACGACTTCAGCCGGAACACTCACCGTTAAGACGTCGAGACAGATCAAGCAGAATCGTAGAAGCCCGTCCTGGGTCTCGTCAACAACAATCTCGATTGACTGATTTAACAGCTGGGGTACAACATTGTATCATGAAGTCGAGATTGAGATGCCAAGAGGGAGAGCTGCACGTGACCAGATCATTGGTTGCCGTGCCATTGGCTCATGTGCCGTAGTCAGCCAGGCACGCACAATGATTGGCTTGTAGATTGCGCCTTCGGTTGTGCGGCATTTTTCGTGTGCTCCGCCCGGTTCATTTTCGCCCGCCGCGCGAGGCTAAACACCATCTGCAGCTTTAACTCCATCCCCCTAAGCTGTGAATCCCCGAAAAAAAGATTTGTCGCAGTTTCACCTCTTGCACGTCCATTGTCTCTTGAAATACTGGTCTCTCATTTCCAGTCTCTCCTCTCAGTCATCTGCGTCTGTTTCTAGATTTCTTTGCGCGTCTTCAGTCCTTCACAATGGCCGCCGCAGCCCCCAAGGTCAACACCGCTCTTGAGACTCCCACCGAGCCCAAGAAGCTCTCTGGTGTTGCTCTGTACAGCAGATTCGTAAGGCACACCCAATGTCCACAGGATACAATCATGGCTAACTTATTAAGGCCTTCGCTGGTGCTGTCTGCTGTTCCATCACTCACGGCGCTTTGACTCCTGTCGATGTGTAAGTGTCCAAATTCTGGCGCGCATTCATTGCCGCGTAGGTCCTAACTTCAGTTTCCAGCGTCAAGACCAGAATCCAGCTTGACCCTGCCACATACAACAATGGCATGATCGGCGGTTTCCGAAAAGTCATTCAGAATGAGGGTGCTGGTGCTCTTTTGACCGGTATTGGCCCGACCTTCGCAGGTTACTTCCTGCAGGGCGCATTCAAGTTCGGAGGTTACGAGTTCTTCAAGCAACAGTCCATCAACCTCCTTGGCTACGATACCGCGAGAAATAACCGCACTGCCGTCTACCTTGCCTCCTCTGCCGCCGCCGAATTCTTCGCCGATATTGCTCTCTGCCCCCTTGAGGCCACCCGTATCCGATTGGTTTCCGAGCCCACCTTTGCCTCCGGTCTCGTTTCTGGTTTCACCAAGATCTTGAGAAATGAGGGTGTCGGTGCTTTCTACAGTGGTTTCGGTCCTATCCTGTTCAAGCAGGTTCCTTACACCATGGCCAAGTTTGTCGTCTACGAAAAGGTTGCTGAGGCTGTCTGGAAGAACTTGGTTGACCAGAAGACTGCTTCGGACGGTACAAAGACTGCTGTCAACCTGGGATCTGGTCTGATTGCTGGTTTCGCTGCTGCCATTGTTTCTCAACCCGCCGACACTATGCTTTCCAAGATCAACAAGACCAAGGGTCTGCCCGGTGAGAGCACTACCTCTCGATTGATCAAGATCGCCAAAGAGCTCGGCCTCCGTGGCAGCTATGCTGGTATTGGTGCCCGTCTGTTTATGGTTGGTACTTTGACTGCTGGTCAATTCGCCATCTATGGTGACATCAAGGTATGTGTCCCCACCAATGCTGTCTATAACATGTTCTAATCGTGACTTTGCAGAGACTTCTTGGTGCCACCGGTGGTGTTGATATCGCGAAATAGATTCTTGGCTAGATCGGCCGGATTCTTCGGCTGAGATTAACGGTTTCAATGCATCTTCAGACTCGTTGAGCGGCGTTTGTTTTCAGCATGCAGACAGCATGAGGGACAAAACACAGCCATTAGAGATACTTCGGATTTCTAGATTTCTGGGGTCTACCATCGGCGGATGATACACCTAGACGTGGACAAGCAAGTTGGGAGGAGTTCTGCAAAATTGACTGGGATAGAGTTTTGAGGTGGAAAAAAAGACCTTAGATTCCCTTCCCGAAGACATCCAAAAGTTGTCTTTGCAGATTAGACGAAGCGTTTTGTACCCATACTTAATGCCACAATATGCTTGTGCCTGGAATGTCATTCTTCTTTTGCGCCGCCTACTCTCTCAACGAGGCTGCTGGACAGGCAAGCGGCTTTTTCCTACAAGACATTGTAGAATAATCATCGGGCTGTTTGTTGGTTCGTATCAATCATTACTCACATCGCTCTTCCGCCGGAATGCGAACAGAGCATCATCCTTTCCGGCATAACTAGGCAGTGGAATCTGGCAGACTTTCTCCCAATCCGGCCTGTGCCTCGCCATATACTCATCAATCATCATGTCCTTGAAGCCGGTGTAGCCGTTGCCATTCTGTGTGCCAGCCACGCATACCACGCCACCGGTATATGCGTCCAGGACCTTGCGTGTAAACTCGCCCCCAACAATCGGGTAAACCAGCAACAGCACGCGGTCGGGACAGCCGCTCCTTTTGCGCAGGTACTGGATGCCATCGGCGACCACCGTGTCCGGGATCCACGTCGTCCGCCACCGGCTTTGCCCGCTGTCCACTGCGATCACATCCAAATTTGCATTCAATCGGCGTAGCATCAGCGTCCAGTACCCATTCCCGCTACCCATGTCAAGCACGGCGCCACTGCCACCGCCGGCAAGAGAAGCAGAAGCCCCCGACCGAGATCCCGATTGAAAGGAGGCAAATGTACTTTTGTGGTGTTGTTGAGCCAGCTTCGCCACGACCTGCAATGCCTCCCATGACGGCACTACACAACCGAAATGGTGCATGTAGACCGGCAGCATGTGGTGTGCAGATCTGACCAACGCGGTGTTCTTGTTGGGCCCGGCATATTCAAGTGCATGACACGCATAGGCCCAGAAATCTAGTGCTGGATTCGGGTGCCCTGCTGATGACGTGGTGGAACTGCTGGCAGAAGAACGGCCAGCTGCTGAGTCATTATTGTTGTTGTTCAAGTTGCCCGAGGGGTCGATGTTAGGAGACTGAGGCGGCACGGTTGTCGAGGCTTGCAGTTTGTACTTCGGCACAACGATGGACTTGTCTAGGTAGCGCTTGCTGAGGAGATAGTCGGCCACAGAGGCGCGGATGGAGTCCTTTTTGGCATTTGCGCCCAGCGATTTGAGACTGTTGGCCGCCGACTTGGTGGGGTCAAAGAGTGAGATGTATGCTTGAATGTCGTTTGGTGGAGGATAGCCCACGATCCGGAGCGAGGGTTGGCCGGGGATTCTTCTGTCGTCGTTCGAATTGGGGGTGTCATTATTGGGGCTTGTTGCATCACTGGCAAGTTGGCCATTCCCGGCAGGCTGGTCGTCGATACGCTCAATGTACCATGCATGTAGCCCGTTCGCTCGCCCCGCATGGATTGCTGCTTCGACCTGTGCCAGATTCACGCTGGCAGATGCATGATACGTGAAGCTGTCGCCTGGCGGCAATTCAAAGGCCGTGGTGATGGCCGCTCGAAACTCGTTCTGGTTCAAGTGCTGGTGGATCTTGGGCCAGCGCTCGGCATCGCTCTCTTCGAAAAGATGTGCTGCCTTCCATGTCTTGGAGCCGTCTGTGCCTTCGGCCGGAGATGGTGGCATGGGCAGTAATAGAGGCGCCGGCGGTTACGCTGGTCTGGTCCGATTTTGCGACGATGGATGCAGTGGTAGTACGTACGTCAGAGAGGTCTTCGAGCCGTCTATAAAACCACAGTTTCCATACTCTAGGGGAGGCTAGAGCAGTAGCTGGGTATAGATAGGTATGCGTTGCAATAGGCCTTGTAGCTTCAGTGCACTCGGAAAAGGCAGTGTTGGATCAAGTATTGCGGATCACAGCAAGAGAAGTGTTGGAGGTCGAACTTGAAGTATGAGGCTGAGAACGAGGGCCAATCGAAAGCCGGCTGACCAAGGCACTGTTACCAGCCTGTGGAGAGTCTTGCGGAGGACGACATTACCACGTGATAAACATGAATGACGCCGCTTTAAGTGCCATCTCATTGCCTGCGCAGCAGTAGCATGTTAAGTGCTGCGATGGCAGTTTTTGTGCTTCTTTTTGACTCGGTCTCACTCGCGTTGCCGGTCTCGCATCTGCCTGCTGCTGGATTGAGTAAAGGGCAGGCCGCAATTGGAACTTTTCAAACCTACCTAGTAAGATTGAAATACACATGTCTGACAAGATCTTTTCGCGGCGGACCCTAAGCAAATTTTGCATCCTACTATGGATGTCTTGTAATCCCGTGTCAGACCATGGACATTCGGCGCACCAGATCGAGGCTCTATTCGAAAAAGGCATGCAGTGCTACCGCTATTCAACCGGACACCACACCCTTAGGCTAGAGTGCCGACCAGGTAGTCCATACCTTAGGCACACCGCATGCTGCAGTGCATCACCAGAACTGGACGCTGGCCCGGTGATTTAACTGCTATATCGTCAGGCCTCAAGCACCTGTTCAGCTTCGCAGCTGTCTCCGCCATGTCACCGTTTGCCAGTCAGGGTAACCCGCCATACGACCAGCAACGTATGTCTAGTGCACTTCTTAACTAGTGATGATGCTTGTCAGGATCCGAACGCGCTGTACAGCAGAATGTCTGCCAGAACAGCCTTGTCAGAAGTTCCTTACCTAAGGTAGCCAGCTGATGAATCGACCAATCAACGAATTGTCATGTTGTACTATCCCCCAGGACGCTTCCTGAACCCCACTGGGAGGCGATTGGGGTGAGGGGGAGAGATCCGGGGAGGAACTCTTCGGCTCTCGTCTGGCCTCCAACCTCTCAAAAGCCTCGGAAGATTTCTGGATCAAGAAGATACAATCGCCTGGCATATCCCTTCACACCTCCGCCGGGGCTCTGAGTCTCAGCATACTGACTCTTCATCAATATGTCAGAAGACTCCTGACCTAGCCTGCATCTCTACGGGACCTGCCGTAACCGACGTGTAGACGAAATCCTACCACATGTGACACAATCATGCAAGAACCCAACCCCAAAACAACCGGTGCCAGCAAGCCCCGGAGGCGCGATACGGATGAAAGTCGAGCCGAAAGGAAGAGGATCCAGGATCGTCTGGCGCAACGAGCGACAAGGGAGAGAACCAAGAATCGTATCGCCTACCTCGAGCAGCGCCTTAGCAGTTTGGAAGCTGGTGATAAGCAAGGGGAAATTGCCAGCCTGACTCGTATCGTCGACGATCTACGAACCGACAACAACCGTCTCCGTACTGCTTTGGTCAAGCTGCGCACCACCATTGACCAGACTCTATCTGCTACTGAGGGCCAGGCTGGCGCCCAACCTACCACTAAGCCATGCGGTTGCAGCGAACTATCCCACTGTGTCTGCACACAGACAGCATATGGCCCGTCAACTCCCACCGCATTCCAGGAGCGGATGTCGGCCAACCCAGGCAATCATCATCGTCATGCTTCAGACTCGACGGGTTCCACGGAGATGGCGGCCATCGACGGGCAGAGATCGAGCCCCGGAGTTGGCTTTGACATGCAAGCCTCAGAAGCGGTCAGTGGCCCCATGGGTCTTGAAGAGTTGTTCGATTTCAATCCCGCATCCCTTCTGGAGGCATTTGAGATGGGGGCGACAACCTATCCCGGCTGGACCTCCAGGGCTCCATCACCCTTCGACTACCGTTTCCTATCAGCGGATTCAGTGATCAAAGTAGCCCCTGATTCGGAAAAATGGCACGTTTCGAATGGGGCCTTCATCAGTTGTCTTGACTCGGTGAAACAGCGGACCTCATCTACTAGCACCCTCGACATGCATGTGCCTTTCAAAGCAGCCATCTGGGGCTGGGACAATGTTGGACCGGAGGCGCAACATCCCATATGGAAAGCCCTGCGACAGGTTGACCAGCGCGTCTTCGGTACATGGACGTCCAAAGCACAAAGGATAGCCTTGATGTACGTCTGTCAAACGCTGATTCAGTTCCGAGAAAATCCCTCCAAGGAGAACTTAGATCGGGTCCCTGTCTTTCTACGACCAAGGTATGTCAAGGGCACACTCGGCGTCCGCTTGGCTCCTTCCTGAAATGAGAGTTCGAAAGGAACCAAGTGAAATTGACATAGCTGGCTAGGCCGTCACAGGAGAACATTCAGCACCCCGCAGTCATTGACTTTCTGGTCTGGTGAGTGACAGCTCTTGCGTTTCCCTTGACCCTGTTGATTTGTCGCGACTGACGAGTACCACGATCCAGGCCCGGCCTTCGCGACCGATTGGTATTCGAACATAAAAAGTATACCGCGACGGGAGACTTTTCCGCTGCTTTCGTTGAGAACTTCAATTTCCATTGGCCGTTCTCTGACCGCGACATCTTTACATACGATCCGCGCCAAGGTCGGTACGAGGTATCGAAGATTTTTCTGGACTATGCCTATAACTTCAAAAATTGGACCATGAAGCCTGGCTTTTTCAAAAAGTTCCCGGAGATGCAGCATGACATTGCCGCTATGGCGGATGAGTCGTTGGACTTCCCGCGAGCAAGCTGGACATCGTGAAGGGAGAAAGAGAGAGGAACGCATTACACCATGTGTGACTGATTGAACCGAGGACAAGAACCTTCAGTGCCTGCAACACAATAAATCGAGTCCTTCTGTGCAGTCCGCAGCCTTGCGTGTGATCCACCTTTCCTTGCAAAGTGACTGGTGGTGGTTCGTGCCCCACACTTTCATCTGTCCACATACCCTGTCCTGTGCAGTGTGTCCAACTGCCTGGTAGTCTTTCAAGCTGGCAATGCTTCGATCATACCTAGCCTTTATTTCCTCATCTACGCTTCATCACCAGCGTTAGGTATGTCTCCCTGCTGTCTCGCTTCTTTTCAGGCAGGGTTTCAACGCTTCGGCCCTTAACGGCTAGTCTGAGCAGATTACGAGCAGGTTTCCCCCCATCCCGGGGCAATGAGCAAGTTCTCATGATCCAGCAGAACTCGGCCCGCCATCAAGCGTTTCTCTATGCGATGTCTGGATCGATCGGACCCCGACGCAAGTCAAAGGATCCATCGACTGTCGAATGAAAGGGCAGCCGGAAGACACAAATCAGAAACCCTCTCACCACCACAGCCTAGGAGCATCACAATGCAAAAGTGTTCACACTTTCGAAAGTGTCTGGCATCATGTATCGGTCAATGCCCGTGTCAAACACGGCAAGGGCATCATGGGCTACAGCTCTGCCGTGGCCCTCGCATCGGAGAGCACATTATCTGCAACCCAAAGCCTGAAGACATCAGTACTCAAACCGTACCATTCCTTATATTGAAGTCCACAGATCACACACCTCAGAAGCAGAGAATGTTCCATTCCATCGCTAGGTGACAAAGAGCTCATGACCATTCTATCAAGCAGAGCAATATCACCTACAAACCAACCTTGCGGCTAAGTTCCGGGTTTTCTCATCCATCCCACAGACACAGGAGGCTGGCTTCGTGATCATGAAGTTTCCCCGGCTGACCTTGTTGAGCGCCTTGCCGAGCGTGATCGCAACAGGTCCCATTCCCGTTACCAGGACTGGCCTCGCTGGTATTGACGGGTTTACCTTCTACGACCCCTACTGTGCTCATGGCTGCTTCCGGTCTTTCTCCCCCTTCAAGCTGCAGTGCTCTGCAACAGTTAGCCCAGGGGGACATACGACCGCCGACGATACTGCGCACAACCTGGCAGTTTGTCGTGCATCCGATTTCCCTTTCCTGAGCTCCATAGCATGGTGCATACACTTATACTGTCCAGGCAACGTTCGGACCTCGACAATCGAAAAGTTCTGGGAGACGCAGATCACAGGGGATATCAGGATCATTCCCAAATGGAGCTATGGTGAAGTCATGGCCAATATCACGAAGCCGCCTACCATGATGGCGATGGACATGGATGCGACATTGAATATGACCATGTTGACGTCTTATCACACTTGGAAAATCACTCAGGATACTTTGATCTACTTCTTCCGCGAGACAGCCCTGGAGTCGTATTACGGGTACGTTGTCGCCCATCACCGTCCTTGGGTGTTAGATCCCGCCTAGCTGAGCCCTTTTGACAATAAAACGATTTCTTTCCGCTGCGGTACTAATTTGGTGAGTTTAACAGACTTGCCATTTTACTTACTGCCTTTGGGCTCCCCATCGTTCTGACGTGGCTGGGGTATCTTCCCTTCATGTCTGGCGCGCTGGAACGAATCCATCCCTGGATCTACCCAAGCATCATCGGGACTTACCACAATCGACCGTTACCCTTCTTACTAGGCAATGCGCCTACCGTGGGTCAAAGTCTTTACATCGCCCTCCTGTTCATCTTGAACATTGTGTTTCTTGCAGTTGGGTACAAGACATTATGGCCCAACGAAGAATTTCAATGGTACCGGAATCACTATCAAGAACTCCTGGCTTACTTCATGTGGCGTACGGGAGCTCTAGCATTCTGTCAGATGCCTGTACTCTTTCTCTTCTCGAGTCGGAACAACATCCTGCTGTGGCTGACCAACTGGTCGCACTCGACTTACATGCTACTGCACCGCTGAATAGCCCGGCTGTTCCTGCTACAGACTCTTTTGCATTCCATCATTATCATTTCGCTGATCTTATACCAGAACGACGGGTACTACGCCACGACGGTCGGGACACCGTTATGGATCTGGGGCTGCGTTGGGACTGTTGCAGCGGTGATTATCGTGCCTACGAGCGTGCTTGTCATCCGTCAACGGGCATACGAGCTGTTTCTGGTCACCCATATTGTCATGGCAGTGATTTGCCTAGTGGGATGTTGGTACCATGTTTGGTACGATGACGAGGGATGCTTTGGCTACGAGACATGGCTGTATGCCACCTTTGCCGTCTGGTTTTTTGACCGACTGGCTCGGGTGGCGCGCATCTTGAAAACGGGCATCCGCCGGGCGAGGGTCACCGATATCAGCCCCACGATTGCTCGCGTCGATATTCCAGCAATCCGCTGGGTGGCTTCAGGCCATTGCGTCTATGTATATTTCCCCACGCTCAGCCCACTGCGACCATGGGAGAATCATCCCTTTTCTCTGATTCCGACGGCGGTCCTTAACAGGAGGACGAACAACTACAGCGAGGACCAGACTACTAATACTCCGTCGGACGCCGGCAATGATATGGAGAAGAATCATCCTCAAGTGGCCCCCACGCTGGATCCTCCGAAACGAGAGGGACTTGCCCATGTGGACAGTCGCTATACTAACTCTGGCCTGACACTGTTTGTGCGAAAGAGAGTCGGCATGACCAGAGCGTTACGCGCGCAGGAAGGGTTGCTCACCCTGCTTGAAGGGCCGTATCCAACCACTCCCACCAAGACCCTCCTGCAGAGCGACCGTCTGCTCCTGATCGGAGGTGGAATGGGCATTACGGGCCTCGCCCCTTTTCTATGGTCTCATCCAAATGTTAAACTGTTTTACAGCGTCAAGACGGCCGATCAATGCCTGGTGGACTCATTGAGGAGCGTCTTGGGCGAAGTCCGCGAAAAAGAAATCTGCATCGGCAAGAGACTGGATATTAGTGCGTTGCTACGAGACGAGGCAAGCCTTGGATGGTCCAAGATTGCCGTCGTGGTCTGTGGCCCTGGGGAGATGTGCGACGACGTGAGGGCAATCGTGGCTAGGCTTGGTCGCGAGATGGTAGGCCACTGTTCGTTTGAACTTGAAGTTGATGCCTTTTCGTGGTAGAAGGAAGAAACTTAGGTGCCCAATTCGCGCAATTGGACACCAACATGGCCGTGCAAATGGCTTCCCTGTCTTATTTTCACACGCGATGAAACGGAAACAGCCTTGGAGTTTAGATATAAGGATGCAGTACTACTGTACTGGTACTGTACGGACACTGCAGTATGTAGGTACCGTAGAATAGGAGGTAGGAAGTAGAGCCGCCACTGGCAGGACATGCATTGTACAAAGTGGTATGTAGGCAGTCCGGGCAGGGAAATTCTTGGCACCCTGCGGGCGCACCAATATAAGACTCACAGCCAAAAATTTAACATGAATTGCACCTCCAATTCAACTCCACAGGGAGGATGGCCGAGCGGTCTAAGGCGTGCGACTCAAGAGAAGAAAGTCTTCCGATTTTCCATCTTGGGACCTGAGTACAGGTTTCTGTCTTCGCATGGAGCAATCCGCGTGGGTTCGAATCCCACTCCTCTCAATCTTGTTTTTTGTTTTTGAGTTTTTTTGGTTGGATACAACTATTTTTAGTCTTTTGAGAATCCCCTGGCTGGAGTTATTATAATGGTTCTCAATTTTCAGCCAGTTTACAGTATTCGAAACCGAGCCAGCCAAACTTGAACCGTGTCTTGCAGAGCGCAGAACTTGAAGCTCGGCAGCTGCGAAGGTGGTGTCCGTTGATTGGTTCCTGTGGGACCTCACTCAGCTTTTTACCCGCGGCCCGACGACTGCATAAAAATCATCACATCATAGTACAGTTGTATTATTATCTTTCCCAGTGGTCAGGCTGCACTCAGTGGCCAAGTTCACCGAACCAGTTACTAGTACCACTAGTACTATGGCACACGGTGTGGGAAGGGGATGAATAATGACGATGTGAGTTTTTGTGCACGCGCGTCGCCAATGTTACACTGGCCATCAAGTTGTGGTAGTGGTTTACTCCCCGCACAGCCTGAGGTGCCTACCTAGGTCCAGGACATGATGGATGCGGTCACGGTGCACGAAAGTCAACCCACTTCTACTACCGGGATGACATGGACAGTTGAATCATAACATTTAGCGACGGGGTTCCACTCCTGCCATCTCCAACAAACATGGACATGGACATGGCCTTGGGTTTGACTCTGCCCATGGTATGGTATCCCTGACAAGATCCATTGTCAGCTATGTCATCACCAAAAGGATGAGCCGAGTGAGATGTTGAATCCTGGTCGCCCTCCGATGGCTGCCAGGCGCGCGGGGTGTGAGATGAGACGGACTCGGAGTTGCGTACCTAAGGATTGATGAGATAAGAAAAGATGCAAATGGACTCGGTCGTCTCATGCAGTGAGTGGTCGAGTATCCGGTGGGTATTTGAACTGGGGAAGCCGGCGGCCAACATGTGAGTGAAACGACACTACTAAGACCACTACTTTCACTCTTTCCCCTCAAAATACCCACAACGGTCGAAGGGGGAAATCAACAAAGGATTGGAATTCCGGGGAAAAAGATACTGAGCTAAGCTGATTTACCTCGGATATGTGAGTTTGATTGATCTTCTGACGACCCGGCGGAGGCCCACTACCAGCATCTTGTATATACTGTAGACAAACCTACAGGGCATCCCTACCTGCAGGATCTACTGCAGCTTCTTCATCACCTTACCTGCAAGGGATCAATTCAAATCACAGCTGCTGCATCCTCGCTGCCTCTACCTGTCTGTCTCTCCGCGTCTTTTGCATCTCGCAGCACAGCAACCCTTCAACTCCATTCCACCTGATATCGAGAAATCTCTCCCGAGATCGAAACGAACAACGACCAGACATTTGAAATGGCAGACAGTTTGTCGAACGCGGGCCGCCGGCTGGGCCAACTGAAGGAGTCGATCCTGGGCAAGACGGCGAGCGAGATCCCATTCGACCCGGAGGCGACGTCGTTTCCGACACGCAAGAACCTGCCCAAGATCGTCGGGGCGCCAGACGAAGCGGCCTGGGTCTGGGGCAAGGACGACAACATTGGACGACTGAACCTGCTGACACCGGCGCGGGTCAAGGCGGCGGCGGCGTCCGAGATACGGACGGGGGAGATGGCGCGGCTGGACCTGCCGCTCAACGTGCCGGCGCAGCCGGCATTTGGACGGCAAAAGTTCGAGCACAAGATCATCGAGCTGTTCGAGGACGTGGTGTTTGACGACATCTACCACATGAACACGCAGAGCGGGACGCAGTGGGACGGGTTCCGGCACTTTGCGCACCTGCCGACAAAGACCTTCTACAACAACACGCACAAGAGCGACGTCGTGGGCCCCACGGCCAACCACAAATGCAGCGTCCACCACTGGTCGGAACATGGCTTTTCCGGCCGCGCCGTCCTGCTCGATTACCGGAGCTACGCCGACTCCCAGGGCATCAAGTACGACACTGCAACTTCCCACGCCATCTCGTATGACGATCTCGTCGCCTGCGGGAAAGCCCAGGGCCTCGACATCCGCCCGCAAGCTCAAGGTGGCGACATCAAGATCGGCGACATCTTGCTCATCCGCTCCGGCTGGGTCGAGGACTATTACAAGCGTACTCCTGAGGAGCGGGAGCGTCTGGCCCTGAGGGGCACCGCGGGTCACGAGGATACCGTCGGTCAGTGGGCCGGCGTCAAGCAGGAGGAAGCCATGAAGGATTGGCTGCATGATTGCTACTTCGCCGCCGTCGGCGGTGACGCCCCGGCCTTTGAGAGGTGGCCCACCCCCGAGTCCTACCATTTGCATGAGTATATCCTAGCTCTCTGGGGAATGCCTCTGGGCGAGATGCTCGATCTCGAAAAGGCCAGCCAGTTGGCCAAGAAGAACAATCGCTGGACTTTCTTCTTCTCCAGCAGCCCTGCAAACTGTCCCGGCGGAGTCAGCAGCCATGTCAATGCCACCGCCATTTTCTGATGGAGGAATCCTGAAGCTGATATGCGCGGCCAGTGGCGAAGGCACCGTGCCGGTGAAATAATCTGCTGGGAGAGGGGAAGGCAGGTATTTTTGCTGTTTCCCACTGCAGTCTATACTCCAGTCGTCCGGTTGTTTCAGTCCGCAGTACCAGCAGCTGGCCTCTCAAGTATGATAATGACATAGCCATGCCCATCTGGGTCTGACAGTAGCGAATATAACCAAACAACACGGCTCAGAAGCACATGAACATTGTCAATGCACAGTAATAGTTCGTGTGTTAAAGGAGGTGATGGATCGAGCATGTCATCCCTCTCGGTGTAGCATTTGGAGAGCAGCTGGTGCAGAACACCAGCCGTTCGTCTAGTTCTGCTCTCGAGTCGGTTTCTGTTCTTCTTTTCCCTCAGAATCCAGCGCTTTGGCGCCAGCAGTATTTGCATCGGACTCTAGACCCTCGGTTCCCCCACTCCTGGGCGCCTCTACCGCTTCAGCAGGAGGAGGTGCGCTGGCAACCTCCTTCGCCTGGACGATATTGACAATGTGTTCACCCAGATCGCCAGCCCCTTCGATTTTGCTGATCCGAGACTTAAAGAACTCCGCATCTGCCAGTACCCTAGGATTCCCACAATTAGCACACATTCCTCTAACAACAAAAAAACCGACAGACATACCTCTCTTTGGCCTCAGTCGAATTGAGGTTGAGACCTCTGAAAGCATTTGTCCATTGTTCCCGGTAGCTCGCGAACACGGGGGACATGATACCCGAGACCACGCCCTCGGGCAAATGTTTGGCCAACACTTTCTGCAAGGTGGCAGTCTCTTTGGTCAAGGTCTCCATGTATGGCGAGACGGTGGTTGCTTTGTTCTTCGCTGCTTCTTCCCAGTCAATGTTCTTCATTGACTTGACGTGCATCGACGCTCTACCGGACATAATATCAACCAGCTTCTCATGGATTCCATTTTGATGTTCCTGGAACAGACGCTTGACCTTGTCAAACTCATTCATCACCTGTGCCGCAGCATGGGAAGGCAGATGCCTACGGAAGAACTCCCTGACGTACGGAACTAAGGCCACAATGAAACTGAGCGCTTGGGACGACAGAGCAAGGTGTTTGGTCGTGATATTCTTCAGTCCGGCACTCCTCGTGGCGCCAGCCCCAAGAATGAGCTGAGAGCTTCGCGAATTGAACAACTTCAAACTGTCCAACAACAGATTGGCCACTTCTGGACTCATGCTAGGAATCCCTGCAGCTAGGTGTTGGAAGCTCTCGATGGACCGGAGCATAGCCAGAGCCGATTCCGGGAGGATGTACTTTTGTTCGTCCACCACAGCGCTGCGCACCTTTGCCGCAGCTCCGGCAGTACCATTGGTTGCAGTGCCGTTGCTTCCCTTGGAGTCGTTGCTTCCATTCTGCCAGATCATGGTACTCTCGATCCAAGCGACAGCATCATTGGTGCTGCCCTCCATGACCCGAGCCAAGATCTCGTTTTCCGGCTCTCCGAAGTCTTTCGCGTCCCATTTGTCGCTGTCCATGACCTTGATGATCTCGTGTTTCTGAGAATTGCCGAAATGCGCCACGAAATCCTTGATCTGGGTGTCGATAACCGTCTTCAGGGCCGCCCCGCTTCGACCCGAGATTGCCTCACACTCATCGGCAAATAATTTGTTGAGGCTGAAGTATCGCAAAAAGTCCGTAAGTGGTAGCTCGGAGTTCTGCTGAGAGCGCACTTTGACTACCTTGCTAATCTGCCCCTGAACCAGATCAACACCTTCGCCTAACAAACTCGACAGGTCAAGCGCCTGTTGCATCTCCGCTTGCACCGTACTTTTCGCTCTCGGCCGACCAGTTGGGGGGCTCATTACTCTGTCGATGCTCGCCGGCTCAGGACTCCTCGGTGGTGATTGAATCGTATGATCCGGCAAAGTACTTGTGATATCCAGCAAGATTTTGACCTGCACACTGAGCCGGCGCAAACCCTCGCTAATATTGGTGTACATCTTGGCCAACATCTCATACCAGTCCTCCGCATCGAGGGCTCTCAGATTCCTGGCCAAAATGGAGGATTTCTCTTGCTGACTCATCTGTCTGCCGCCCACAGTTGATGCTGATACGGTGGACACGTTGTCGTCGTCATTGGAGCTGGGTAGCTGCTTCCTGATCATGCTCTTCATCTCCCGCAAGACCAAGGCCCGGAATGTCGTCGCGGCTGGTGTGGTATATCTGGCTCTCGACAGGCCTTTCATCTCCGCTTCAAGTTCGGCCCGCAATTCAGGCCCGATGTTCATATACCCCGGAAAATTTGATGGAGCTCTCCTTTGGCCAGGCCTTGGTCTGGTGTACGCAGAGCCCCATCTATGAAGCGTCGCTCCAGTCTCTGTTTGCTCAACATGACGCCTGATGTCATTCAACAAGCTGGTGTGAAACCGCGCCTCGTAACCCCGTCCTGCCCTATACCGTAGCTGATTTAGGTCATCAGAAGCACCTTCGAGTGCTTTCATTCTCCGCAAATCACGTTTCGGGTATCGGACCGACTCGCCAGGCTGCGTGGGCTTGACTTCCCTCCCAGCCATCAATGCCTCGACGCCGTCCAAACGATCCAAAGCCTGGTCGATTTCACCCATCTCTACCATGTCTTCACAATCCTGTACGGCTTTCACAATGTCTTGGAGCTGCATCATCGCGTGGGCAAGCTGACGGACATTATCGCGGCGCTGGTTAAGATTGACCACTTTCAGGCCATCAATTGCCATCTCCTTATCCAGTTTTGCGAGCTCCTTGCGCAACTTTTGTATGCGATCCACCGAGTCTGCAGCCTCGCCATGTAGCTCCCTCAGTGAGCCGAGCGCCGAGAAGAAGGACTTGGACGCTGTGGAAATGGAATTGATCAAGTGAACCTCGACAGTGTCCATGTACCAAGACAACTTCTCTTGTAGAATTGCATTCGTAGCCAACGACTTCCTCCCGCTGGGGGTGCCAGTAGGGTCGCGGACGATTTCAGAATGTTCAGAGACGATGTCGAAAGTTCTTGGGTTCTCCAGATGGAAATCTTCCTCGAAGTAGACAGGCGGAATCGTAGACAGAGGAGTAACTGCAGCATGACGACGCTGGCCACTTTGTCGCCTTTTCGGTTGCGGTGTATCTACAGGCGTGGATACGCTGGAGCTCATCGATCCCACCCGAGAATGACCAGGCCGCTGCGGCAGCCGCTTGTTCAGAATGGCCTCCCATTCTTCATTTCTGGTGTCCTTCTTGTCCCGGTGGAACAACGAAGTCTCTCCCTCATTTTCATGCTTGGCCCGTTGGAAAGCTTCATACAACGACCCCACTTGCGCGAGGTAAGGATGGAACGTCTTTGCTTCGACATGCGGAATATTCGTAAGCGCCACAGGGGGGATGTCACGATGCGTCGGTGCTTTGTATCCAGAGTTCGGCAGAGGAGTGTTTGCTTGCAGTCCAGTTCGTACAATCGGATGTTGGAGCAAGGTGGAAATGGCATTCTGCCCAACCTCTGTGATGGTATTGTTATGGTTTACGGAACCAGTATCGAGAGCGCCTCCAACGCTTGTAATTGAGCTCGCCGTCGATCCTCGTCGCAGCGGTCCCCTAGGAGTGCTGTAAGGGCTTCTTGACACGTCTGGAAAAGGATATCCGGTTGAAGGCGAGCTCGCGATGGGCGAGGTCAACTGCGGCTGTGACCCAGGCCGGACTGGCGAGGTCATCTCGACGAAGTCCAACAATGTCGGTTTCAGAATACATCCGAAGGGCTTTTCTCACTACCCTCACGTAGTTGAAGGCATAGAGTCGAAATGCATTCTAGGGACCACGTTGGTTCTCAGAGGGGCCATGTTTACCGCGGCTGCTCGACGCTCGTGCCTTGAAGTTCAACAAGAGCCAGTGTGTCAGACCCGCGGCCAAAGGACACGCAGCGCAGATGCTCCGCGGAAAGATGCGCGCCAAGTACTACCACAGGCTGTACAGTGGTAATACTCGGAGCTCGGTGGTTAGTTTTCCCGGCACAAAACCACTTTACGCGTCCGTCGGCACGAGAAACGCGAGGCGAGACACGAAACGCGTCTGTCCCTTTTTGCGCAAGATCTGTCCGATCTGTTATCCTGCCGGTGTTGCCCGCCCCTGTTCCTCCACAAAAAGGCAACCCGCTCTCGTACGTGTTTGCGTCTTTTCTGAGCCATCTTATCAAGCAGACAGAAGTTCAAGATGGCGATGGACTCCAGATCGGCATATTCCCTCAGTGTACTGCCACCACACCAAGACGCCGCCTCGGAACCGCGGACAGAATTGCAGTCGAAGCTGAAGGAGTTTGTGCTCGCATTCCAGCTTGACGGCTCATACATCTACAGAGACCAGATTCGAGAGAATGTGCTCGTGAAGCAATACTATTGCGACATCGACCTTACGCATTTGATCTCGTACAATGAAGAATTGGCTCACCGACTGACCAACGATCCTGCGGACGTGATACCTCTGTTCGAGGCAGCACTGAAACAATGCACACAACGAATCGTTTTTCCCCACGATCCCGAAGTCAAACTCCCCCAGCATCAACTCCTCCTCCATTCATCCGTCTCCCAAATCTCCATCCGCGACCTCAATGCGACAAACGTCTCCCATCTGGTCCGAATCCCTGGCATTGTGATCGGGGCGTCCACTTTGTCCTCAAAAGCCACGGTAGTTTGCATCCAGTGTCGGAATTGCGATCATGTCGAGTTTCTGCCAATAGAAGGAGGGTTTTCTGGCATCACACTCCCACGCACATGCGGCAGACCCAAAGTCCCCGGCCAAGAGATGGGTGATTCGTGCCCACTGGACCCCTACTTTGTGGTCCACGAGAAGTCTCAATTTATCGACCAACAGGTTCTGAAGTTGCAGGAAGCTCCGGACCAAGTACCTGTCGGAGAACTGCCACGCCACATACTGGTCTCGGCAGATCGTTATTTGACCAACCGAGTTGTCCCAGGGACGCGGTGCACCATAATGGGTGTTTTTTCCATTTACCAGGCCAACAAAGGCTCCAAGAAAGACAGCACGGTTGCGATAAGGAATCCATACCTGCGCGCGGTCGGCATCACTACCGACGTGGACCACAACGCAAGCGGAACCACGTCCTTCTCTGACGAGGAAATCCAAGAATTCGAGGAGATGTCTCGACTTCCAGATCTTTACGACCGGTTCGCCAGGTGTATAGCGCCTTCGATTTACGGAAATATGGACATCAAGAAGGCTATTTGCTGTCTGCTAATGGGCGGCTCGAAAAAGATTCTGCCAGACGGCATGAAACTGAGAGGTGACATAAACGTTCTGCTTTTGGGCGACCCCGGTACCGCCAAATCTCAACTCTTGAAGTTCGTTGAGAAGGTGTCACCGATCGCCATCTACACCTCAGGGAAGGGTTCCTCGGCAGCCGGTTTGACTGCTTCCGTACAGCGAGACACTCAGACGCGCGAGTTCTACCTAGAAGGAGGTGCAATGGTGCTTGCCGATGGTGGCGTTGTGTGTATCGACGAGTTCGACAAGATGCGCGACGAAGACCGTGTGGCAATCCACGAAGCCATGGAGCAGCAAACCATTTCAATCGCCAAAGCAGGCATCACCACGATTCTCAATGCACGCACGTCGGTTTTGGCTGCGGCAAACCCGATCTTCGGCCGTTACGACGATCTCAAATCGCCAGGAGAAAACATTGATTTCCAGACGACCATCTTGTCCCGATTTGACATGATATTCATTGTCAGGGACGACCACGATCGAAAACGGGACGAGACAATTGCCAAACACGTCATGGGCATCCACATGGGCAACCATGGCGTGGAGGAACAGGCCGAGGTGGAAATCTCTGTAGAGAAGATGAAGAGATACATCAGCTTCTGCAAATCGTGAGTAACCACCCATCTTCCCATGCAACTGAACTTTTCGTTAACATCGACTTTAGGCGCTGCGCACCACGTCTCTCAGCTCCGGCGGCAGAGAAACTGTCGTCACATTTCGTCTCGATCCGCAATCGGGTCGCTCAAGCCGAGCAAAACAGTAACGTCAGATCTTCCATACCCATCACAGTTCGTCAACTCGAAGCCATCATCCGCATCACGGAATCCCTCGCCAAACTTACCTTGTCGCCGGTCGCCGAGGAACACCACGTCGATGAGGCCATTCGTCTCTTCCTGGCTAGCACCATGGACGCCGTGTCTCAGGGCGAGGGTGCAGGCGGCATGAGCGGAAATAGGGAGTTAATGGAGGAAGTGAGCAAGGTAGAGGAAGAACTCAGAAGACGGCTCCCAATCGGATGGAGCACCAGCCTGGCAACTTTGCGGCGAGAGTTTGTCCAAGGCAGGGGATACAGTGAAGCCGCATTGGCGCGAGCTTTGCACGTTTTGCAGCGGAGAGAGACGATAAGATTGAGGAATGGCGGCAGCCAAGTGTACAGAAGTGGTGTTTGATCAGCTTTTTGTCGCTCTTATGAACATGAACCTTGCTAGTGGTTATTGGCGTTGCAGGAAGGCTGGGAACGGTTTGCTGAGGTCGACGGCTCTCGGAGTGAGCACTGGCGGGCTGGAAGGTTGACCGGGGTTTATGGTGTCTGTTCTATTAATGGGGTTCGACGACTGTTCGTTTGCCATCTCATGACATACCTATCATGGGCTCAAAACATCTGTAGCTTTGACCGGCTGACAGAGAGTTCATGTGTTTTTGATTTGCCAAGACCACCGGAGCGAGCGACGACCTCGACTCATGACAAATTCTCTGAAGTGTCGTTCCATATATCTTTCTTGAGGACCCATCGTTGGCTGAGGACCCATAGACTGGGGTTGCACTGCATCTTGAACATCTCGGATTAGACACCGCAAGCGGAAGGTCAGGGATCATCAGATGTGTGTTATGACAACCATTAGGGTAGGACAGCAACCTCTAGAGTACTTCTCAGAGCCATGAGCCAAGCTGGTCAGAGCATCGGCATACCCCTAGGACTCGTTTAAGGCGTCAACGTCCATCAATTTCGGGCGCGACCAACATGAGCGGCGCCCTTGACCCGCTTGTCGTGCTTCGCGGCGCAGTGCCATTGACCGAAAATGCTAGGGTACGGAAACAGTATCGGCTCCAGAATAGTTACTAGGTTGAAACTGGCGTCAGCCTGTTGCTCCTCATATTCTGCCATACAATCAAGCCTATTTTGCTCCAATGTCGGGGCCGATAGTCCCGACATAGGACCCCTTTCCCCAGCGAGAGGCTAGGAGACCCTTGACCGGGCTCAAGGAGTGAGACGCGGAGATTTCAGTTCTGAAAAATGCGGAGCATGAATTGATAGTCCGCTTTTCGGCACGAAAAGTAGCCCAGCAAGGGGATAGTCGAGCCATTCGGCCTCCTTGTGCTTGAGAACAGGCCGGTGTGATAGGTCATATGGATTGCGCGGCCATACACATAGCACCAGGAGAGGTGGAGAAGGTGAGGCATTCACATTAGCTGTTGGACTGATGGGCTGATGAGCAAAACTCCCATGCGCTATACCCGGTAAATCGGGTCGCTGCAATGAGAGGGATTTGACCCTTTCAAATTGAAGTTATTGTAAGTCGGTCTAGGGTGACGTCGGTCTCAGGTACTTTCCGGAATACGGAGGCCAAGCTGGACTTAGTCCTGCAGACCCTGACCCATAGCGCAGGCACGATCATTCAAGGAAGTCTTCTTCTTCGATTGCAATTAGGGATCGTGACGGAGAAGGGGGCCAATACTATGCCTGGTCACAGAATGGGAGTGACTAGCTTGCGGCAAGTGCGATAGTGGTACAAACCCAGTGTGCGAGATGAGAACTTGAAGCACCCTGCTGCCAGTACCCTACCTGGGTACTATCTAGGATCTTGTGTTCCAGGATCTGATGTCTGATGCCAGTGTAAGGCGGAGCATGGCACCCGGCAAGGCTCCGCACATGTCATACTACATAGTAGCAGCGATGACAGAACATGGGTACGGGGAACCGGCTCGCTGGGTCCTGGGCTGCAGACGACATGCCCTAAGATGCAGGAGATATATTCCTTGTTATTTGTTGGTGCGAGGCCTATTCGAAGCAAGAGGTGCGATATGCTGCAGAGATGACGGGCTGACTTTTCGAATCAGAATGGCAGAGATGGCAGGGAGATGGGACGGAGGGCAGTAGTAGTCATTAAAAGTGGTTGATGCCATAATTTATTAGCAGCCTGAGCTACAATTAGTCCGACTATAAATATAGAACACCTTGAAGTCCAGTACTAGTAGTCGCAGTATGTGCTGTCTAACCACCAAATACAAGTACTAACAGCACTACGTCCGTGCTAGCAGGTACTACTACCACTAAACTGCGCTGTCGTATGCCGCGCTGGACCACATTCAAGTTTGTGTCTTGAGTCCTTCCTGGCTTGAAGCCATCTCGCTTATTCCTCGTCCGGATCCTGCCTTTGGTGTATGCAAGCGTTCTGGCACAGCTCAGCCTCATCATTATTGTCGTGACCGACTTGCACCTTGTCTCCTCACGCAACCCAGCAATCACGAACACAAGAAGAGTTGCTTTTACCGACCTGGTTTCTCCTTGTGTAGATAACATCTACCTTTGGGTGGTCCACTGCTGCTTGCTCTGGTCAAGCTGTCCTCGTATAGTGCCAGTTGCTGACTTGGCTGTATTTTGGAAAGGCTGGAACTGGGCCCGATCTGGAGGGCTCGAGATATGATCCTATGATCGACACCACTCCGAGAGCGTTCACCAGCTTCCTTCCCGCCTGTCGGATGTTGCTTTTGCGTCCGCCCTGCTGCCTTGCACAATTTCAAGCGCTGTCACATCAGACTAATGGGCTGTGTGTATGACATGTTACATTAGGTTCCCTTGCAGGACGATCAGCTGCCTGTCAGATTTGTTGCGTCGAACGTCAGGCCGTCAGTCGTTGTCCCAAAGTGCTCAGCCAAACCGTTCTTCCCGATCGCATCTGCTTTATCGTCCTCCGTGGCAGGCAATCAGCTAGGGATGTCCCGCGCCGGCCTCCGGAATATGCCATAGACTTGCATGCGCCCGAAGAGCGATTTCTTGGCTCAGAGACGAGGGGAAAAATGAATGTGAGAGGTTCACACCGCAACCACGAGAGGTCATGACCTCCAGGGCTGGCATGACATCAATCATGTAAGGAATGGGCTTGAATTGTTTGACCGTCACAAGGATTAGGACCATTTGAGGCATCAGAATCGCCTAAACACATCCCCAGCTGAAGCGGCAACCAAGCCATCGCACCCTCCTGACAGTCCGACAAATATGGTAGCGAGTCATTCGTTGCATTCGTTTTGGGGTCTCGCCAGCCGTTCGATCTGCGGCTCTATCCCGGTCGCTCACGTATGGATCCACCTTCCGCGGCACCATTCTCCAGTTTAGTGTGGTGCCTGTCTCATGGCGATACCTGGTCATCTCTTCGGCTGTCCTTACTGCCTTCGCCGCCTCACGATTTGGCCTGACCCGAGATGTGTTCTGGTAGCACAGCAGATCCTCCGGCCGTTCGGACCCTGCAAGATCTGAATACCAGGAGCCATTTGTGGCTTCCGTCTACCTCTCTTGCGGCTTCGAGGAAAGTCCATAACTCGACAGGTCTGTGTCGAGCCCGGTATGTACATGTACTCCTACGAGCATGTGTTGTCATCTTGCGCCCTTTCATGGCCTTGTCCACAAATTACGCCTTACGGCTGTCCCGGTGGCTTGAGAAAGCAGACGCCTAGCATTAACAAACGCGCAAGGAAGATAGCAAGAATCATGTGCTGCACCACTGGCTCACGCTCCAGCCCGTTTGGATCGCACCAACACATTCGGAAGGAGTCTAAACTGCTCTGACAAAATGCAACGCATCCATGCTGTTTGAAGACATTAACCCTGCCTATGTGATCACCACACCGTCCGCTCTCGGAGCGGACAGGCTCTTCCTATAAGTGCCTCCTCGCAAAATTTGCGGTCATTCAGGAACACCAAGACACTTAGACCGGTGCTCAGCCCTTGTATCGATTATCATACTACTCCTTCGCAAAACCCCTCGTTGCAGGAACCGACAACCTTATCTCAGGGTTGCCGAGAGCTTTCCGACGATCGAAAGTACAACATGGAGCTCGCTGTTGCACCGCCTTCGAAGATTGCTGCAGGGAGATCACTTCAGGTGCCGGTCGTTGTGACTTTTACCACAGAGAGTCCCTTTGGGAACCGGCAAACCAAACAGGAAAAAGCAGAACTGCCAGATTTGAACGGTTTGTGGGCTTTTGTGTCCCTTACAACGCCTGACATGCAGCAAAGTCTGGCGCCGCCCCGGAGAGACCTGTTGCGCGGGCGAACTGCAGATTCAATCCATCCACTGCAGCAATCCCAAGAAGGAGAACAGCCTACCCTGGGCTACGCAACCTTTCGAGAGCTTGTGATCACCCAGCCTGGTCAATACCGCATGAGAGTCAACATCGTCGACATGAACACGTAAGCCGATCTCTGGCCACTTTAACCTTGTCTCATCTCTAACACAAGGCAGACTGTTTGCAGGAAACTTTGCAGAGGGAGCAGCCACAGTTCTGCCTCCCATCCATTCGCAGGTCTTCGATGTTGTGGAAGCAGAGGACCACGCATTTTGCGGTAAGCCGAGTCATGGTACGCCTCAGAACATTGCTGAAACAAGCAGAAACAGAAGTCGCCGAGACCCTTGGGAGACTCAGGTCGATTGGTGTGGACTGTTAGAACTTGCTATGGGTTATGGCTGGGATTGGAAATATAATGATAGAAAGCCATCAACGCCACCCGACGAGAATCAAAACTCGGTTCCAAAAAGTTACAGGAGGTTGCTAAAAAATGACCTTAAGTCATGCTCCGTTAGCTTCAAGTTTTGCTTAGTTTCGATGCTTGATCAAGGTAAAGTTCAACAACGGCCGGTGCAAGACTACCAGGTAGCTGTGTTAGCGAAACCTAGCAATCTAGGAGGAGGCCGCAGAAAAGCGATTACAGTACCCGTGCCAGTGGCGCAGCTAAATCTGTAGTAAATATACAGTGGCCAGGTCCCCTTTTATGCCAACATTGGCACTAAACCAGATTAGGCAGGTCGTGGACAGGCTTACAGTATCTTACAGCAAAGAGCGGCCGGCCGCTCTATAGATATACTCCCGATATACTAGCGGTTAATAGAGTAAACTACTCGTTAGATCTATCGTCTATTAATACCTATAAAGCGATAGTAGTAGAAGTCCTTCTAGTAGAGTAGTCGCTACCTATAGATTATGTTTTCGTATTTACTGACCGGAAAAGGTTTAGTCTGTAATTTATAGGGCCCGCTTTTTTGGCATAAAACGAGGCCTGGCCATAGTACTTTTTATACAACTGATCCCCGCATGATTCAACTCCATCTTTGGGAGTACTGTACGGTGCACCTCCATACTCTCACGGCGCGAGCAAGAGATGCGTTAATTGAGTAAATTGTTGTACGAAGGACTATAAAGAGAGTTGGGAGCGCTCGGTTGGTAGAAGTACCAGACCGAGGCTCGCGCCTACGCTAGCCATAAATACCAAATGGGGCTTAGCGCCAATTAGGTTACGTACTAAGTAATTATATACTAGTTATATAACTATATCTAGGCCTAATCCGTAATATTACCCCCCCTAAAGTTATAGCGAGATCTCTTAAGTCCGAACAACTTAATACCCTTTTGTACCTAATTTCGCCTATATATACTATCTATACGTTCCTTAAGTCTTCTTCAATACTATATCTCTCGTTAATAGCGCAAATCTTCTAGTTATTAATATATTTAGCTCGAATACTAACCTTTTAGCTAGTTATTATTAAGTTACTACGACTATTAACTAGAAGATATAGAGTAACTTTAAAGACTTAGTTAGTATAGTATACTAGGAAGACTATTATAATCGACTCGTTATTAGCTTACTCGCGATATAATAACGGCTAATATTAATTAACTATATTTATTAGCTTCTTTTAGTTATCGTATTAGTCTTCTTATTCGATAGAAGCGATATCTCTCGTCCTTAGTAGATTAATCTATCGATTACTCTACTACTATCGATTTATTTAACTTAGAAGACGTCGGTAGTTATACTATCGTACGTATAGATATTTTATCTATATCTAGGAGTAGAGTATTATTTAGTTTAGGAGATATCGATAGCTATATCGATTCTATATATATAGATATTTTATTAACGTTAGGTAATAGGAAGTTATATTTATTTAGAGGACCTAGTCGCTAGAGGTTCTCTCTATAGAATCTCTATATTAATTCGTCCGAATCTAGTAATATATTTATTTAGTCTCTCTAATTCTCTCGATCTCTCTTCTATTATACGAGATATTAGATTCGGCGGTTTCTTCTATAATATTTTAAGTTTAGAATCGATTCTACTTCGTACTCTAGTTTTACTATATTATCTCGTACTATTATCTTCGATAGAGATAGCGGCTATACTTATTTTAGTATAGTATCTTTCGAGGCTAGATATAATAAGAAGATATAAAAGACGTCGTAGATCTTCTAGATAGCTAGTAGTTCTAATCGATATATACGTAGATTTACTACCTTTATAATTTTAAACGGTTCGTAATTCTTAAGATCTAGCTTTTTAGAAGATCGATTTATTTTTAAATTATATATATCTAACTATACTAGATTACTAATTTAATAAGTAGAAAAAGGGTACTATCTACTCGCTTTTCGTTTATAGTTAGCTTAAGCTATAGTTATCTCGAAACGAACTTAGTTATAAATCTTAGAAATTCGTATAGCGAATTTATCTACTACTTATCTATTAAGTATCGTATCGATAGATATTAAAGAACTTTAGATCGTTACGTTCCGAGATTCTACTTCTAGTCGGGAGTAGTATTCGTAGTTAGCGAAGAATAGAGATACCTTTATTATATTTAACGTATAGTAATTAATTACGTATTTAGCTACTAATAGCTAATCTATCTAATCGATCTAAAGATAATTATAGTATACTCGTAGATATTATTCTAAGATCTAGTTAGAGTTCTTAAATTAATCGTCGATTTCGGAATAGTAGACGCTAAATAAATATTATTTAATCTATAATATACGGTATATCTATTTCTAGAACTTAGATACGAATTATAGTCCTCGGTCTAATATTATAGTATCTAGTAATTTATAGTAACTAAATATATAACGAAGAAATAATAGGGCTACTTTAGAAGCGCTTATATCGATATAAGAAATATAGTAACGCTATTTAGAAAGCCGATTAGTTACTACTATAATATTTCGGTAGGCTATACTATTAGTAGAGCTTTTACTCTTAGGTAAGTTAACGATAAAATCGACTATAACTTTAAGCCACGGTCGTACTAGAATAGGCAATTATATTAATCCTCTAGAGTATCCGGTACGGAATACTTTCGTACGTCTATATAAGTAATAGTTACTAATATATTAGCGAATATACTCTACTATTCTAGACTAAAAGTAAGAGTAGCTTAACGCGCTATAGGTCTTCGATTTTCTAGGGTATCTAGCCGCTAGGGTATCGTAATAGACTTATAGGATAGCTAGCTTTACCTTATCGTTATCCGGAACCTATAAATACTTCTTATACTAGAGTATATTATTATCTTTATAATACTTATAATTAGTAAGTAAGATACGCGGGTACTTCTTAGATAGGTCTTTAGAAATCTTCCTTAAATCTCTCTTTATATAGTTAACTAATTATATAAGTAGTTCGTCGTATATATATACTCTCTTAACTTACTCTTCGATAGAATCGGCGTCGGTTTTCCGAATAAACGTTACTACTAATTAAGTAACTATCTTTAGTTAATTTATAAGTAGTATATCGATACCTAGATTCTATAGCTTTAAGATAACCTAGTTTTAATATTTTACCCGTATATCGTTATTATTTTCGGGCTAGTCGCCGGGTCTATATATTAAACTATCTAGTTTCGTACCTTACTTATCTAGTCGATATTATATCTAGAAGTTAAATTCTAATAGAAACTCGCTCTATTATACTTATTATTAGTTAAGCTATTTAGTAGTTATAAAATATTCGAGAGATCGATAGTTAGATAGAACCTTAATTAGCTTATTCGGGTCTAACTGTTAGGAACGCCTAATGGGAATAGGCAGAGTTCAGCGATAAGTCTTCAATTAGTATTAAGTACTCCTTAACTCTATAATTATATACGACTCGAAGCATAAGAGAAGAAAAGCTCTCTTATACGGGGCGTATATAGTTTATATCTCTTAGCTTCTATCCGAATAGCCGAGAAATATAAGTTATCGATAGTTAGTATCGGTATTCGTAATATTTATCCCTCTCTCCTAGGCTTCTCGTCCTCGAGAAGATATAGGATTCCGTATCGATAGAGTCGCGTATATAGTCGTAGTTACGTAGTAGGTACTCTCCCTCTTTCTAATATAGCCTTATATAGTCTTATAATAGCACCGTATATCCTAAAGTAGTATTTTCCTACGCTTAGCGGTATATCGCCTACGCCTCGTAGCTATAATAACTTATAAATAAACTTAAGTCTTCTATTCTTTATTCGTCTTCTTATATAAGTCTATATCTTTAATTAATAATTATAATAATAGTTC